TAGAGAAGGCTTTATTCTATCTTCACATATATTTGGTGCTAAAAATCTTGGTTTTTCAGGTGGTGTACCTGACGGATGAAAAGCAATGAGGTTGCCAGATTCTGAACCTGAGATGGATTTTTAATTACAACATGGTGACTAGATAGCCCAAAGTGTTTTCTACTATTCTGCGCAAGGCCAACCTCTGTATCTATTAAGGTTCGCGATTAGCAGGCATTTTCTGGAGTCACCCGTAATTCGTTACCATTTCTCTTTAGGAAATGCCTGCTATTCTAGAACCACAACAGATAGAGAGGTCGGTCTTGTGTAGAATTGTAGAGAACACTTTGGGCTATTTAGCCACTATGTTACAATCCTTCAAATTCAAATTCAATCGTCCTTGTCAAACTGACATAGTTTGATAAAGTGTGATGACCCAATCCTTAACTGCAGTGTGAAACTCTTGCCAAAGATCCTGCAATAACGAAGCATGACGGAGTAAAAGTCCTGCTACAAAAATTGTGCGCAATGGTCGACTACGGGGAGTAACATTGCCTGTTTTTCAGAGTTAATGAAAAAATTTTGAAAAAATGAAATTTAAATTTTTTTAAATTTTAAATTTTAAAAGAATTTAAATTTAAAACATATGAAAGAAAATTTTAAAAATCAGACAACGTTACCCCCCGCAGTCGGCCGTTGCGCACATTTTTTGTACCAAAAGTTTTTTTCCACCATGCATCGTTTTTGCAAAAATTTACCAACATTTTTTTAAGTAATTAATGTTTTTCTCAGCTAAATAATGTAAGTAAACTGAGAAAACTTCAGAACATATATTTCGAAGTATCCTCTACAACCTACGAACGCCTGAAGAAAATTCATAACTTGAAAATATCGCTGGTTTTCTGCTCACGAGGAAGCCACTGCAACTGTCCGATCGCTTTATCCAAGAAACCTAGTGGAAAATACGTAATCGAGTGTGCTTAACGCGAATAACATAGTCGGTTTGGCATCTAGGCCTCCAGATACCGGTTTTCTGGAAAAGCGGTTTTTCAGAAACTCTAAAAGATAACCAAAACCTTTCTTAATGAGCCATAATTGTCGTCCGCACATTTCTGATTAAAATGAGACCTCTTCCAGCTCTACACGGCCTTTTTTCGCAAAATTAGAATTTATAAGAAGAGCCCTAAATGTTAATTGTCAGCTCAAAGCTACAGAAATAAGAAGAAAGTAATTTAGGGCTTTTCTTGTAAATTCTATAACTTTGCAAAAGAAAGGTCGTGTGAAGCTGGGAGAGGTCTTATTTTAATCAAAAATGTGTGGGCCACAACTATGTCTCATTAAGAAAGGTTTTGGTTATCTTTCAGTTTTTGAAAAACTGATTTTCTAGAAAACCGGTCTCTGGAGACCTGGACACCCAGATCACTCTGATATTCGAATCACAGCACACTCGATTACCTATTGTCCACTAGGTTTCGTGAAAAAAGCAATCGGACAGTTGGAGTGGATTCCTCGCCAGCCAAGATTTATTGCCTCACCTTATGGCTAGTTTCGTTCGAAACAACTATTTTGAAGCAAAACTCTGGATACAAACATTGTTCAAAATTCAATTTCGGAGCCTCTTACGAGAGCTTTTTTCAAAATTATTGTATTTTGGTTTTTAAATTGAAAAATATGAAATTTTCAAATTTCCAATCCCATAAATTTAATTTAAAAACCAAAAAACAATAATTTTAAAAAAAGCTCTCGTGAGGGACTCCGAAATTCAATTCTAAACAACGTTTGTATTCAGAGTTTTGCTTCAAAATGCTGGATAATAATAGAAAGAAAAGAAAAGAAAAACGTGGCTTTTACATATGTTCGCGAACATGTATAAACATACTCGAATAAAATCATAGTGAATTTAAAAATTCTATTATATATTTCATAGCAGTCATATACTCAATTATTTATTATTTATTAAAAGTTGCCCTACCAAAATCGTTTGAACAGTTCAGTCCTTTATTACTAAAATTCTCCTACAAAATCCTTTTTCTACTCACCTATGAACAAAAGTCTGTTGACTTTTTCTTTCCATAACTTATCAGCAATGATTTATGAAACAAATTCTATCGTTTTGTCCATTTTGCCTTATGTCAAGTAGTCATCTTTCATGAAAGTATGAGGCAACAAAATATTTGATCTGTAAAATAGATTAAATAATCAGTAAAAAAATATACAAATGATCAGTTTAAAGATAGAATAATCAATACTTAGATTATCAGTAAATAATACGAAAACGATAAGTTTATTATATATAGTAGCAGTAAAAATATACAATTTATATCAGTAAAAAAAGAGAACCTAATAAGTAAAAAATGCAAATTTGACAAGTAAATAATATAGATTTTATCAGTAGAAAAAAAAATTATCCGCAAAGTATAATATAGAATAAGAACTGAAATGAAAAAAAAGAGATTAAATTACTGCACTAGCAAAGCAGGTTTGGCCTTTGCTGGTCTACCTCTTTTCCTTTTCGCACCGATCGGCACTGCCCGGTGGTGATTTGCAATAGAAAATCATAGTAGAGATGAATCGAAGAAAAGAAAACATATGTCGTACTTGTCAGCTGTACGTCGTAGTAGTGAAAAAAAAGAAAGGAAACGAAGCAAAAGTGAATCATACTATAGCACATTTCGATTTCTGTACTTACTCTTTGATTTAACTGATTGTTAATCTATTTTATTTACTGATCTTAAAATTTATTAACGAACCTGTTTATTTAATAACTGATCACTTAAATAGTTTACTGATAGTTCAATATATTTACTGATCATTCATTCAATTAACTGATTTTATAATATTTTATCTTACTGATCTTACTAGCTATTTATTACTAGCTACTGATCACTTAAATCCATGGCAAAACCAAAAGCGCTTGATTTTAATTCATTTCAATAATATACCCTAATTTATTGAAAAGATATTTCTATCTTAGTTCATATTTGTTCATATAGTTCTGTAATATTTCATATGGAATGTGCAAACGCTACTAATGGCTATTATCAACAGAAATGCATATCGTTATGTGCCCAGTTATACGAAAAATTATCGAAGAAGTCTCAAATTAGAACATTGAAAGGCACATTGTATATATCGGACGATGTATTTTTCAACTTCAGTCATGTATTTAGTCAGCCGTCCCGTTATTCACTGTCTGAATTTTGGGTGACTGGATCACTTGAATTGAACAATTATGCAGAGAACAAACGGGTCGAATGGAGATGGTGGTATCTCGAAAATGCATGGGATAGACTTGTACTTGTTTTTAATAGAACGTTACCTCGTCGATATATAAAAGTATTTGAAACACTCTATGGCCCAGGTAAATTGCTTACACATTCACGAGCCGATGTTGTCTACATACCAATCGCCGATAACCAACTGTCGACATTTATAAAAATAACAGATGAAATTCTAACATATCTTCCAAACTTCTTTTGTGAAGTATTCATTACAATAGTAGCTGATTTAACGGGTGCATTATGCAAACATTGGCCATACAAAAATGATCGAATTAAATTCAAGTCAAAAGCAAATCGCCTAAATAATCTGAAAATTATAAAACACATGGAAAACACAAATCAAATAGTCCATGCTCGATATCCGTATAATACGAGTGTTTACCAGTATCGACCATGTTTACTGAACATAGAAGGGTACATCTTTGAACGTAGTCGACAGGCTAAACGAGAAATATTAGAAAAGTTTTTGTCAAAAAATATTTATGAATTTGTACATCCATTCAAATTAAGTAATGCAACAAGTATTCCCTATGAACTTTGGCACAGATCAATGGAGGGACAAATTCAAAAATTAAAACATTATCAGCAACATTATAATCGCAGTTTTGAGAATGTGACGTAGTTACTGATATCAACTTACTTTTCCCTCTTGTTTTCTCATTTACAGTCTAGTCCCCTGTGATTCGTTAAGAATGAACTTTACGAAAAAGCACTTTGCCATGATTTTTTCAACTCACTTTTAACAACTGCTATTTATAATACAAATTCTACTTCGGACAACAATTTGATTGTATCAAATAGATCGTTTTTTAAAGTCTTTTTATGAAAATGTTCAGAAACAGCTCCTCTATCTGCCTATGCAACTTTCGAGCCAAACTAAGGTCTCTTCGGTACAAAAATAAATACAAGTACAATACAAACAAATAGCCACTAGCTCATATTGTTACAAAATGTTCTGGTAAGTATTATTATCAAAGTGACATGTATAAGAAAAACACAAATTGTGTAAAAGTTTTCGTGATATTAATTGACTTCTAGCACAGCGAGAAAAAAACATGTCGGTCCTTGTCTCTCTATCCACAGTGAACGGTTTTAACTTACAAAGATAATTGCTGTGATGTACAAGTGAGAGGTTTGAGTCTCATGCATTAATAGTCGATCAACTGTTTATCGATTAGCTGAGAGCCTGTTAAGACATACACATAATGACCGACCGCACCGACCACACGCTAATTAGTGGTGCAATACCTCTAAGCGCCGTAAGAGCTCTCATTTCTGTGTTAATGGAGTTGATTCATGGTCGAAAATGAAAAGTAAAAGAATAGTTTAGTGATCTACAAGTTTCAACTTCGGATCTTATTTTAGGTATAGAAAAAACGAAAGCTGGTAAACTTGCTGCTTATTTCAAATCAACAGCACATCTATCGTCATAACAAAGATAATTAAATTTTAAAAATAAAAAAACAAACGTTGATCTTATGTTAGATGGTAATTGTCGCCAAGCTGATCAAAAACGTGAACAATTATTGAAACTAAACGAAAAAGTTATCATTTCTTTATTAGATGCAACAAGATTTTTAGCAAGGCAGTCATTAGATTTTCAAGGTCACAATAATAATCCAGGTAAAATGTGACAAAAACTGGAAACAGTCAATTTAATGCGTCGGTATAATCCAACATTAAATCAATGGTACAATGATTGTAGTTTAAGAAAATATCATGTAATAATGAGGAAATTTGAGAAAACATTAACTGATTTTATTTAAGTTTCAAGGTTAGTTATTTGACATTTCATACACAAAACGAATTTATACAGCTGTTGGATAATGCTATTCATAAATTAATATTGACAGATATATATGCAGCTAAATTTATTTCGATAACTACCGATTCAACTTCTGATTGTACACATAAAGAAATTTACACAATTGTTATTCGTTTCGAAAAGAATTTTGAAATAAACGAACGTATTATAGCTGTATCAGAATTAACATCAAAAGTTGGACAAGATATTTGTCACTATGTAATTAATCAATTAAAACAATGTGGAATATGATCAGAAAAAATAATTGCACAATCATATGATAACGCATCAAATATGTCGGGCAAAACTTTAGATGTTCAAGCATGTATAAATAAAAAGTTGAATCGATCAGTGATGTATATAACATGTTCAACACATTCTTGAGATTTAGTTGTTAAACATGGTAGCATAATTAGTGTTGAATATGTTAATTGTTTTGGAATACTACAAGAATTATACAAATTTTTTTCTGGAAGTATGAAACGTCATGCATTATTGTATAAAAATTTATATGAAACAGAATACGGTATGCTTCATAGTAGAGTTTTAATCAAAACTATTCACTTATTGATGACCTTTAGGTTTATTAATTAAAGATCTATCAAAAACTCGCTGGTCTGATCGATATAATTCAATTAGTGCAGTATTAATATCATATAAAGAAATTGTTGAAACACTTGATGATTTAAGTGTAAATGATCAGATCAGATCAGATAGGTGCCTTATCTGTTGCAGACGTTGGCTAGCATGATACGCCAATTTTTCCGGTCTTGTGCTGCGTGAAGGAAGTCCGTTTTCTCACATCCTTGTTTTGCAATCCAGAGGTTCATGCTTTCGAGGTAC